TTGTATATTGTTAAAACTGTAACTTTAATTGTAAAAAAAAATTTAAATAAAAAAAAAGAAGTTTCCTGATATAAGAATCCAAGCATATTGTTAAAACTGTAACTTTAATTGTAAAAAAAAATTTAAATAAAAAAAAAGAAGTTTCCTGATATAAGACTTTTAAATCCAAGCATAATGTTAAAGAAATCACGTGTTAATGGGAGCACATATATTTGGACTTTGTTGTGTGGAATATTTGTGCAATGATAGAAGTCAGGAAAGCAGGATTCTGATTCTAGATTCTCATGGGGTAACAGAGTTCTTCATAAGACTTCTTAACCACTTGGGGTCTCAGAGTCTTTAGTAAGACTTCTTAGTCTCTTGGGGTCTCAATTTAATCATCTCTAAAACAAGGATTTTTGTAAACAGGACTTTGTCCACCAGAATGTACTGGGTCATACTGCAAAAGCAAACCTCTCTTCACCTATGTCAGAGTTTGGTAAGATCTGTTGACAAAAATGTAGAAACAAAATATCACCAGTATCATCAGTTGTAAAAGTGAGTTTCTTAAGATAACTGACTCAAGGTGTCAGCAGGCTTGCTGTCCCAGCCTCATCACTCTGCTCTCACACTGTGCTAACCTCAGTGGGGTTGGCTGCTAATATGTCCTTGGTAAAGAGATTTCCTGGTTGATGACATTATGTACTGAAGCAGCGCAGGGATGGACCCACTGATGCATTGTAACCTACAGGTTAGCATCACTATCATTTACATTTACTAATCACGTTATTCAACCTGTGTGTAATATGTCCCAAGTGACTTCATTAATGAAAAAACTTGAAGGTATGCCAAAGCCACAAAGCATGTACTCACCTAGATAGCAAGTATTTATAGGAAATAAATCTCAAGAAAGCTGAAAGAGTTCCAAAGAAAGAACTCCAGACATCTATTTCAACTAAGTTTATTTGGACCCAGAAAATTTAAAGAAAAATAAGTCTCATGCCTGGGATAAGATTTTGTTTGGATATTTAAATCAAATTTTTCTTTTCAAGTATCTACTCTCAAATTGTCATCTTATGCATAATCTGAAATAAGATTTTAAAAAATATTTTATTTATTATTTTATTTTATGTGTATGAGTGTATTGCCTGCACTGGACTGTGCAATGCCCATGGAGGTCAGAAAGGGAAATCAGATCCCCTGGAACTGTAGTTACGGACAGTTGTTAGCCACCATGTGGGTGCTGGGTACCAAACCTGGTTTCCTCTGTAAGAGTAGTCAGTGCTCTTAACCACTGAGCCATCTCTCCAGCCCCTGAAATAAGATTTTTAAGTGAAATAGAGCCATCTTTGTTGATAGGGAAAGATCCCAAGATATATATCCCTAAGTAGTGGGGGAGAGGAGGAGCTCAGAACAGTATACCAAGTGTGAAGAAAAGGAGTAAAGTCAAGGTTGGGGGAACTTTTTGATTTGTTTAATTTTTAGACTGACCTCAAAAAATTATCATGAGGTTAATTTTTAGGTAGCAAAACTGAGATTTGGGAAGTGAAGAGGAAAAAAAAGATATTTTATATACTTTCAACTTGTTTGAATTTTACCATTGGAATACAATATATTTCATTTTAAAATGTGTCTTTTCATAGGAAGGCTGGTTGTCCCTCAGGCACTGATTACCTGTTGGGCAAATCGCCCAGGCTTGGCTTCCTTGTTCTCATCCTGTTCTCTTGGCGGCTCCTTGCTTGTGACATTTAGATTGCTAGGCTGGCCACATCAGCACGCTGTTCTCACCAGCCCTGCTCTGCCTCAAGCGTTCTTCCCTTGTCATCTCCCGTTGACCTCTGCTAATTCGCCTTGGCTGCCTGCTGCAATCTTCTTTTCTGGTTTCTGGCTAAATCCTTGGCAGTTCAGGAGTGGCAGACTGCTCACCATGACCACCAAAAGAAAGATGGAGAAGTGCGTGGCACTGACATGGGTTGAGACATCTTTCTCCTTCATGTCTGCCTGGTCAAATTCTTCCCATTCTTTAAGACCTTACTCCAGGGGCACCTTCTCTAGAAAGACTGCCCTGAACTTGCAGGCCCGAACTTATCTCTCTGTCAATATTAATTTAATTCTGTATTTACCAAAATTATGCTTAATACATTTTGATTTGTATTTCATTTATTTATGGCCAAGCCTCCCAGCCAGCATCTCTTGGTTTTAGAAGTCTCTAGCTCTATACATCTATGGAACTGATTTTAACTGAATTGAAATGTAAAACTAAAAAAATAACCTTAAAAAGACACAAGACTTCCATCCCATGGTAGCAGCCAGGGAATCTGTTATTAAAAGAAAGCTGAGATTCAACATCTTGCTAAACGAGATAAGCTACATAAGACACTGGTGAGCATGAAAGACCATCAGTAAATGAGTTCCCTAAGTCATCAATTATCTCTGGATCCCTTACTCCATGTTCTACTCAGGGTTCCAGAAAGTTCAAAGAGTATACACACACACAAAATCACTCAGGTGTAGTTGTTTGTACAGGAACTGGGTGTAATATTTCCTATAGCCAATTACCAACAGAAGAGGGAGGGTAGAAGCCCGCTGTAAAACAAATTTGGAGACCACTGTCCCCATGGCACCATAACTTCTTATCACTGACATGTCAGCCCTTTGGAAAGGAGATAGCACACCTTCTGACAATGCTTCCCACAACAAAAGTATTTTTAAAAAGCTGTCTCATAATACTATAGCTGATCCTGAAGCTATAAAGTGTGTGTGTGTGTGTGTGTGTATGTGTGTGTGTGTTTAACATGTATGTAGGGAGGGTACTGAAAGTGTTGTGTATATAGAAGAACAAGATAAGAAGCTGTTTAGTTATATCAGAAAAAAAGCAATAGTGATTTCTGTGCCTGTATGTGTGCTTTAAGAGTTGACGGATTAAAAAAACTAGGATTCTAATCTTTGTCCAAGTAACGATAAAGTATAAGTAAGCGGCTTCGCCCTTCTACCAAACAGGGTTAAATGCACCTATTCTGCCTAAATCACAAGGCAACAAAACTGGTCGAAATATCTCAGTATTGAAACCAGAAGCACCAAGAACAACTCCATGAGAATTCAAGATCATCATGAAAACTCAGCTACCCAAAACACAGTATAAACTCTCCTGAATGCAACGAGCCCACTTCCAGAACCTTCCCTTTACAGAATTGACTGTTTCCACTTACAGAAATCTACATGAGGGCTGGGGAGATGGCTAGGTGGTTAAGAGCACTGGCTGCTCTTGCAGAGGACCCGAGTTCAATTCCCAGCTCCCACATGACCCATTAGTAACTCCAGTTCCAAGGGGTCTGACACCCTCTTCAGGCCTCCCCGGGCATTGCAAACATGTACTGCACTTACATGCAGGCAAAACACTTATCCACATAAAAAGAAAAACAAATAAATAAAAAGAATACATGGAAGTTTAATTCCACAATTTCCTCACACCAGAACACAAGCTCCACAATATAGAAGAAAGAAAAATCAAACTCAACCTACATAGTGGCAGAGATAAATATCTTGCATTATAACTTTGTTAGAAGGTAGATATCAATGTGCACATTTACAATTTCATCAAGTAAAGTTATAGTACAAATACTTTCTTGTACTGTCCATAATGTGTTGTCAGAGAAGAGCAACAGAGTTCTATTTGAAAGCACCTGAGAGGAAAGAACGAATGCATGCAGATTTCAAATATTAATTCCTATGTGCATGAAATGATGGAGTTTCCCATTAAGAATACTTAGCACCATGCCTTTGGAGGATAGAGAAGAACGAGTGAGTAAGTAGGGATGAAACAATCCCTGATCACCTGTTTCTTTGCAGTTGCTTTTCTTCAGCCTAAAATTCAGCCTCTATCACTAAAGCCCAAAAGCAAAGTGAAGCAAAACAATTTGAATTCTAGGTTTGAAGTTTCCAGGCTCAGTACCTGGGAAGCTAAAAGGTTTTCAAGGAATTTTTGAAGTTATATAGTTTTCCTTTCTGAGATGGATATAGACCCCACCCCTAGAGAAGCTTAACTTCTTATAATGTGTTCACAAATTTACTGTAAACTTTATAACCATACTTTTGCCATAGACAATTTTTCCTTATTCCTAGGCCGAATACTTGATTAAAAATACATATTGCATATTAAGGATGATCTCTTACCACAGTACACTACAATTCATAAGTTATGAGTCATAAATACAATTAACTGTTTCTAATATAACATCTTAATGATTGATATTTATCTTAATTAAGATTTAACATTGTATGTGTAAGAAAAAAATGGACTTAAAAATCTTATCTTACATTTCCCTAGAGTCAACGTAGCTTATGCTAACTTGCCTTCTTTGTGCATTTAACAATTATTTAAAATCTCTAGAACTTATTTTATGAAAATATCATGAAAAAATTCATCCTCAAATGAACAAATCAGGACAGTTCCCATGTTATTTCATATAGGACAGGTTTACATATTTCACATTAAAAATAAGTGCATCTAGGCTGACATAACAGTGCTCAGGAGGCAGAGACAGATGGATCTCAGTTTGAGGTCACCTTAGCCTTCATAGTGAGTTCCAGGCCAGCCAGTACTACATAGTAAGACCAGTCTCAAAATAGTAATAATAATAATAATGGGTACAATATGCAGGGTAGAAAGAAATATGTATCACATACATCTACCTTTTGTAGAGCTACTCATGAACACAAATGGATGGATTTGGTTCAACACACCTAAACACTCCTAAATCTCCTAAGTATTCTAACGCTTATTAGATATTATGGAAGAGACCAACGTCCAGGACTCTGTAGCACCATAACTTACAAAGGAAAAGATACATGACCAGCCAAACACACACACACACACACACACACACATAGACACACACACACACACACACATAGACACACACAGACACAGACATGGGGGGTGATTTGCGTACAGAGTGAAGCAGATTTAGAAGAAATGACATGAGGTCATACTTAACAAATCAAGAAGAAAATGGCACTACCTGGTGACTGCCCGGGTGCAGATGGTAACCAGGAAGCAGCCAGCCACAATCATCCAGCCCCAGCCTCCATCGGGAGGGGAGGCAGGCCCAGCTCTAGTTATTTTTGCCATGGTTTCAACTCTGGTTTGCTTCTTTTCCAAGTTGTTTCAGCAGCAAGTTATGATCTTGGAAGTTTGCTGTCCAGTAACTTCCTGTTGACATTCAAAGTTGGTGCAGAATGCTACCTGGTGCATGGATTACTGGCCATCTAAAATAAAAACAAAGGCATGTTTTTACTTCATTGCCATTTCCAAAGGTGGAATTTTTTTTCACTTGATAAATGATTACTTTCCTATTAATATGATTATTTGTAACTATGAATACTGACTCTTGTCCTTAGTTTTTATGTATTTATTTTATTTTTGTGCTTATGTCATATATGAATGTGTGTGTATATGTATGTGTGTAGATGTGAGGGCATGTGGAAGCCAGAGATCAATATTGGGTGTTTTCAATTTTTTGTGACAGGGCCTCACAGAACCTGGAGTTTGCCTTTTTCTCCAGACTGGCTGGCCAGCGAGCTTCCGGAATTGCCTGTTATGTCCTGCTCTTCCCCTAGCCAATGCTAGGTTACAGATACATGCTGTGTCCAACTTCTACATGGGTGCTGAGGATCCAAACTCAAGTACCTTATGCACCAAGCCATCATCACAGTCCCTCTTTATTATTTTTTTTAAGTAATAGAACTTCTTATGTTTTATCTATGCCCATGGCCACCCACTTTTCCTATCCTCTCCTGAGGGTAAGGGTAGCAACAATTTAGTCTGGGAGGAAAGCATGTAAACACAGATTATGTGCCACTTCTAGGGCACAAGTTCTTTTCTAGGACTTCTGGAACTGCTTCCCAACAGACTGGAACAGGACAGAAGATGAGGCTACTTTGCCTACTTGAGCCAACGTCACTCTAATTGATGGCAGAAGACAGAAGAATTCTGGGTACTGGGATGATTCTGGGTTTTCTGCCCTTCCAGCTCTGAATACTCACAGATCTACACTATCATACAAAAGATCGTTATGTTTTGATTGTACTTGGGCTTCTGTATTTTGGAGTTCACCTATTAGTTTAGACCATATCCTAACTAATATAGTGGCATAGTTTGATAGGAATTTCTGTGGCATTTTTAATGCTCTGATTTTTCCTCATCTTTTTTTTTTCAATGCTGGGTATCAAACTCAGGGCATGCTAGACAAGTGCTTTACAATTGAGCAACATCCCCAGTCTCCACAGGCACTCATTTTTTAAGTATGCAATTTAAGCAAGAAGAGAGTGATGAGTAAGTCAAACAGGATAGACAGCCCAAACACTGCCTGCATACATTTCAATTTAACTTAATAAGGTATCAAAGATCAGTGGAAGAGAAAGGTCCTTACCACATCACACTACAACTTTTCATCTAATTTATTACCTTCCAGACAGATAAAAGGTAAGTCTAAAAAAAGAAGTGCAGGGACTGGAACCTAGAGCTTGGGGATGCCAAGCAAGCACTCTGCAAACTGAGTTACATGATCAGCACAAAAGACCATTTAAGAAATTCCTGCTAAGTCTGCATCTAGTCAGGTTTAGAGGTAAAGGTCCCTCTTTGAAGGTCTACTCTGAGGACCCAGGGCAAGTCCAGTTGACTGTACTCTGAGATCTGACCTAGAGATTTCCTTTGGAGGGAAAAAAACTTTGAGTCAGGTTGTGGAATGTTTCATATGGTAGAAATCAGGTCTGAGCAACTAGAGTGAGACTCACTAGCTTCCTAGAAGAGGGACAAGCAGCCAGAAAGTACTTAAAGATGGCAGGGTCTAAGGCATGCCTGTGGAAAGCTGGCCATCAGCCTTATTCGGTACTGGGAGATGGAAAGACACCTAGAGTAATATTACCCACTGCTCAGCTCATGAGCCAGAGAAGCCCAAAGGTTGGACACCCTGAAAAGCTCTGAAAGACAGTAACTGGAAATCTAGGATGTCCAGTAAAGTTATCCTTCATAACTGAGGGAAAAGAAAAACCTTTCATAATAAACCAAACTAAAGGAAGTGATGATTGCTAATCCAGCAACCCTGAAGATACTTGAAAGAATCCTACACACTGAAGAGGAAGATACACTCATGAGGTCACAGGGAAGAAAGAACTGTGCAAGAACAAAAGAGAAGCAAATGACGATTAGAAAAAAATTAAACATTACTAAAACAATCAAATGATAGGAATCAATGCATTCTTTTAACAAGTCTGAATGCCAGTGTTCTCAGTTCTCTAAGAGAAGACACAAACTGGAAGACAGGATAAATAAACAA